GACTGTTGGTTGGAAGGCATTCTCCTCTGTAAAGATATCGCAGGGAACTTGGAAACGGGAGAGCCTACAGATGTGTAGACTGCAAAGCAAGCAATTATTTGAGCTCTCCAGAAGACCAATGAAAGAGCACTAAGAGCTGAAAATAAAAATGATTTCTTGGGCATCATTTCGCCAGATTCATGCACTTTGCAGGTGTGAGTAGTAAGTCTTTGTGAATTCTACTCTTGCAATCGCTTTGAGTATTCCATTTGTCAAAACTACGCAGCTAACAGGAGACAGGACTCTGATTACCATGTAGCCTAAAAATAAAGCAAGAGCTCTGTGAGTTGAATATTTGAAAACAAAATGATCAAAAATGAGTTATTTATTCTAGGAGCAACTGAAGTTAAATGGAAAAAGAAACCTGGTCTAACTTCAAATAGGAGAGAGGTAAACCTTCAAATAGTAATATATTTGATCATATGAAGCCTATAGGAGAAACCTTAAGTTTTAAGGGCTGCCAAGTTAAAAAATTAACTGCCAAAAAAAAAAAAAAGAGGCAAAATGATGTTTTCCTTGAAATAGTCCTTGATAACCTAATTTACTCGCTTAGCAATTAGACACTAAGCACTAATATGGCTTGTGCTTTTCCTTATAAAATATACGAAAACACACATGCCCACCTTGTGGTATGCTCCATTAGAAGTTATCTCCTAGTGCAGAACCTCCCTGACATTTAAGATGTTTGTATGTTGTGCACAGTGAAAAGGAAAGCAGCAAGGTTGGACGAGTTCTGAAGCTAAAGAAGGTGATGATACCGACTTGCTGTGGCCTCACTAACGCCTAAAGTAAGACTTCCACGTCATAGAGACTAATGCACTCAGTTTCCTGTTGCATTGGTCTTTCTTGCCAAACACAATTCCACACACCATTTTAGACAAGAAATAAATCACAAGAACCACAGATAATGATGCATCCACAGCTTCAAAGGTCAGCATCTGAAATGAGGATCTTTTAAAGATGCACTAATAATTTATAAAGGGATAAAATAGAGAGCTATTCTGTGTCTTTGAAATTTCCTACTCATTATCTGCTATTGACAATGTAGAATTCAGATGCATGTTCACTGATACTGAGACCTGGAAGCAAGCACTCTTAAACTTTGAAGGTAAGGTTTTATTATTTAATCTAAAACAGATCTGAATTCTCTCAGTTAATTATTGCTATAAGGAAAGCCCATACAGAATGTGTTCCATTTAAGTTATTATTTATTTGTAGATGCACCCTCAACTTTTAACTAAAGCCACAAGGCAAGTATTCTCAACCAATTGCATTGGTATACATTTTCTAAATACTTTATCTTAAAGAATATAATACCAAAAAGTAGAGTCAGAAATTAACCCCAAAATAGACATTCTATGATTGGGTGTTGAGGCATTTTTACGGCCAAGGTAAGTAGCTAATTATACCTACATTAAAATTTGTTCTAGGCTAAACTTTCTCTGGCTCCAATTTATAGGGTAGCACAGTTGGGTGGGGGATCTCCATTCATCTTGTAGGTGAGAAGTGATTCTAATTTACTTCCTAGGAAGTATCCCAGTAGTGTCTGTGAGTCAAGGCGATGTGTGACACGGAAGCTTTCCATTGTGACCAAAAACTACGGTGAATGCTGCTGCCCAGTGCCATCCAACAGAAAGCCAGGAGCTTCAATACAGGAAGCGGCACATCAAACCTTAGTAACAGTGTGTGACAAGTTTCAACTTGTTTAGTGCAGTCAGTTGGGTATGAGCTACAGTTGAGAGACAGTGTGTTTTCAAGTGTGCCATAAATCATGGATCACGAACAACGCATTAACATGAAATGGGCAAACAGTTTCATTCTCCATCATGGCAACGCTTCATGTCACACATCACTTCTGCTGTACGGCAATTTCTGTCAAATGAAAGTATTACGGTGTGTCCTCAGCCACCTTATTCACCGAATCTGGCACTGTGCGACTTCTGATTCTTCCCCAAAGTCAAAATGACCATAAAAGGTAAAGGTTTTGAATCAATTCAGGACATCAAGGCAGCCACGATAGCACAACTAAAGACTCTCACAAAAGAGGACTTCCAGAACAGTTTCAGAAAGTTGCAAGAATGATGGAATAAATGTGTTCGAAGACAGGGGGAGTATTTTGAAGGAGATTAATGGCAATGTGTCTTTTACTATAATATATGTATATATACATATATATATATATTTTTATTTAAACATTCACCATATTGTTTGATCACACCTCGTGCCTGACAATTGGTCGAAAAGTTTTTACTGCTTTAGTATGATACTATGTACCTCAATGGAGGGATAATACCACTAAGAATTTTAAGAAGCTCACTCTGTACCCTCTAAGGTAATTGATAAGTTATCATTCTTCACATTATACAGGGGAATTTATGTATGATTTCAGTACTAGGAATACAGGAGCATCTCCTTAGAAATTGGTGGTTTTATTCTATGAACATTAAATTGAACAACACATTAATGTTTCCTTTTTGCACTGACTTCAAAAGAGTTTAACCCAAATTGTGGTTCCAAGTTTCAATAAGTAGTATCACTGTAGTAGTTTCAATCTTTGTTCTTTATATGTACTTAATATTCATCTTGCTTTGCTTAAAAATCACTTTTCTTTAAGGTATGTTAAACGTCCTTTATATATCCTTTAAAGTATCCTTAAATCTTTGCTGAAAGACAGTAGGATATACTGTATTCTGTCAACCCAAAGATATGCCTCTTTTCCACACTTTTACATATCCAAAATAAGGATGAATCCTATAATCTATTTCATTTAAAAGGTATACTTGATAGTACTTTTATGTTTTCCGTGGAGGTTCTTAAAGTATATACCTTATTAATTTACAGCATTTTAGATGAAAAAAAAATGTGGTAAATCAAATAATCACAAGAAACAAAGTTGTTTTACAGTATCTACTGACATCCTAGGTTTTTCTGGAATCTGCACAACTGTCAATGTCTACACTTACAGCAATGAAAAATGACATTCAAATTTAAGACATGGAAGCAATGCCAGACAGTCACTGAAAGCTAAGAATCAGGGATTGTGAGTAAGAAGGTGTTTTTGTTTTTAAAAATCCTAAATGTTTTCACAGTCAGTGCCCATCTGAGAAAACCCCATGCTGTTTTGAATGTCCCTGAAAATTAAGAATGACTAAATTATGTTCACAATTTCACTATTCTGTATTTACTGAAGTTATAATAAAATGAAACAAAACTAGGCTGTTCCAAGAAAGAGTAGAAACAAATCTGAAACCACAACTAAAATATTCTTCAGTTAACACTATGTTAACTAAAGGATTCAGGTGTGCAAAATGTCCATTCCCACCAAATTCACCGTCTTTTCATTGCAGTCTTTGATTGACAAGGGCACTGGCTCTGACATTTTTCTTCTTTAAAATTAGCAGACTCCAATACAGGATATACACACTCTACAGGGAGTAATGGACAACGCTGGGATACAGAAAAAAAAAATACCAGCATTCTGTGTTGGTTTTTGTCTAAAAATATTTTTTAAATTATGCCAGACTAATGTTTCATATAAGAACTTACACTGGCACCTCCACCCATCCCTACATCACATTACCTTGAGCCACATATAACAAATGGGGTATCCTGAGGGAAGGGTGGGGTGGGGGGACACCAATCCAAGGAATTGGCAGTAGTGGCCTTACTCTTTAAAGTAGATCTGGTTATGTGCATTTAAGGATTGACTGATGTTCTTGTTCTCTCTCTCTCTCTCTCTCACACACACAGACCAGAAACTTAAAAAGGCACTTGCAAAGAAACTGAAGTTTGAAGATAACACTAAAAAAGCAAGCAAACTGTAAAAAATGCAGAGTTGACCCTCCCCCTACTCTTTTTTTTCATTAGTTTCAGGTGTACAACACATTACAATAGTTATACCTTTTACCCTTCAAAGTGACAACCCCCCTCCCCCAATCCACCGCCCCACTCCCTGCGCCAGATATCATACATATCTATTACAATTCTATTGACTCCACTCCCACACTATACTCCACATCCCGTGACTATATATATATATATATATATATATATATTTTTTTTTTTAATTATAGTTGACATACAATATTATACAACATCAGCTTCAGGTGTACAGTGCAGTGATCAAGCCTCTACCCCATCCATGAAGTGGTCTCCCTAACAAGACATGTGGCCATCTGACACCCTACAAAATATTTACAACATTATTAATTATATTCCCCGAACTGTCTTCATATCCCTGTGGCAATACTGTAGTTACCTATTTATGCTGTCTAATCCCTTCCCCTTCTCCCTCATCCCCACCACCCTCCCAACTAGCAACCATCAGTTTTTCCTCTATATCTCTGAGACTATTTCTGTTTACTTTGCTTATTCATTCAGTGTTTTAGATTCCACATATAAGTGAGATAATATGGTATTTGTCTGTCTCCAAATGACTTATTTCACTTAATAGTCTCTAGGTCCATCTATATCGTTGCAAATGGTACAATTTCCTTCTTCTTTATAGCTGACTAATACTCCATTGTATAAATGTACCACAGTTTCTTAATCCAGTCATCTACCAATGGGTATTTCGGTTGTTTCCAAGTCTTGGCTACTGTAAATAGTGCTTCAATAAATATAGGTGTGCATATAATTTTTCAAATTAGCATCTTGGGTTTCTCTGGATAGATACCCAAGAGTGGAATGGCTGGGTCATAAGGTAGTTCCATTTCCAGTTTTTTGAGATACCTCCATACTGATTTCCATAATGGCTGCACCAATCTGCAATCCCACCAACAGTGCACTAGGGTTCCCTTTTCTCCACAGCCTCACCAGCACTTGTTGTTTGTTGATTTATTGATGATAGCCATTCTGACCAGAGTGACCCTCCCCCTGCTCTTAACACAAGCTCTTTATGTCAGCTACATTATGAGGCTAAACATTATAATCACAGCTGAGAAGCTGAAATATGTACTTACATCCATTGTTACTATCAAGGACTCTTATTCTAGTTTCCTTGAGGTACCAGCTAATGATGGCCTAAAGCAACTCTGATTTGTAAAACTTTAAAAATGTTAAGCATACTGAAGATTTAGCCGTATTAGTTACATATTATATATTTATTTGTTTTTAATGAAAGTAAGTTTATTTATTATTTTTATTATTGTCACTGGAGAAGACTTCCTGGTGCTATTAAACCCCCTTCTTTTTCCTTTGGTCACAAGACTGCATCAATCGATTGGATTCCAGGGAACAGACTGTGAGCATCGGTGATGTAAGCTCTTCCCAACCTGGTCCATTAAAATCCTCCTCCATATTTCCATCATTGCTGACAAGTTTGAAACCCAGGGGTTGGAGATAATAAAACCATAAGCTGGAAGCAACTGAAGTCCCTAAATTTGATCTTAGGAGTGAGTGACACATTTATCATAAAGATAATGCATATTACATAAGTAGAAGAAAACTTCCATTATGCTAAGCCTCTAAAATGTTAAGGATTATTTGTTATAATAGCTAATGCTCACTCCATCACTGTATTATTACAGTGAATAATAAATAATGTTTTGAAGTTTATATCATGATTTTAAAATGCCTATATTTATGTATTATTGAGATATAATTGACATATATCAGATTTATTTCAGGTAGACAACATAATTATTGTATATATGCATATTGCAAAATGACCACCATAAGTCTAGTCCATCACCATACGCAGTTACAATTTTTTTTCTTTTGATAAGAACTTTTAAGATTTACTCTCTAAGCAACTTTCAAATATACAATATGATATTATTAACTATAGTCAGCATGCTGTACATTATATCCACATTACTTATTTACTTTATAACTGGGAGTCTGGACCATTTGATCACCTTTACCCAATTTTCCCACCCCTGTCCCCTGCCTCTGGAAACTATCAATCTGTTCTCTGTGTTTATGAGTTCTTTGTATTTCTTTTTTGACTCATTTCTCTTAGCATAATGCCCTCAAGATCCATTCATGTTGTCCCAAATGGCAAGATTTCATTTGTTTTTTATAATTGAATACACATACACACACACACACACACACACACACACACACACACACACACACA